AAATGCTAATACTTCTACTTTAACTATTTCTAGCAGATAAACGGTAGAAACCGAAATGCTAATACTTCTACTTTAACCATTTCTAGCAGTTAAACGGCAGAAACCGAAATGCTAATACTTCTACTTTAACCATTTCTAGCAGATAAACGGCAAAAACCGAAATGCTAATACTTCTACTTTAACCATTTCTAGCAGATAAACGACAGAAACCGAAATGCTAATACTTCTACGCCGTTTATCTGCTAGAAATGGTTAAAGTAGAAGTATTAGTATTTCGGTTTCTGTCGTTTAACTGCTACAAATGGTTAAAAAACGGCAGAAACCGAAATGCTAATACTTCTACTTTAACCATTTGTAGCAGTTAAACGACTAATGCTAATGACGACTGGTTCGTGCTTGTTGAAACCCATAAACTGTTTTTAATATTGTACTTTTTTGTGATTTATTTTAACTGATAATCTTACTTTATCCAATAGCAGAAGGTGAACAGTAAATCAATTATTAATACTCTATCTTGGTGTAGCTGTTAGATAAAAAAAAAAACACTCTCGTGTTTAAGCTTTTATACTTACTATGTTTTTTTGGTTTTTTTTTCAGTGGATGAAATAATAATCATGGCTGCGATAGCCCTTAACTCTTTATGGTTCACGTGTTCGATGCTTCTTTTATGTGGAAACTCGGTACGTAGATAGTTAATTACTAATCCTACTAGAAATAAAAAAAAATAATTAAAACTCCCGATTTATTAAAGCAACAAGGTTGATGTTTATCAAACATGTCATAAGTTGTTGTTTTGAAAAGCAGATATAATGGAACGATTATGAAAACCTGTTTATTGTTTGTTTGTTTTTAATTATGCACAAAGCTACACGAGGGTTATCTGTCCTCTGCCCACCACGGGTATCGAAACCAGGTTTCTAGCGTTGTAAGTCCGTAGACATGCCGCTGTGCCACTTTGGGGGGGGGGGACGAAAACCTATTTAAATTAAATCTTAACGAAATTTTTAAATGGATAACTGACAAACGTGCTTAGTAAAATAATTGAACTTTAAAGCTGTTTTAGGATTTTTTTTTCTTTTTCTCTTATTGAATATCTCAGAACTTCTATAAAGATTTTGCTGTCTGTAAATGTGACCTATGTTCATACAAAGTAATTATGCAATCTTTCCTCGCGCTCTAGATAATAGTTTCTTTTCAGCCGCGGCTGAACGGCTCTGAGTTTTTTTTTGGGGGGTGGGGTTTACAAATGCAAGCTTTAACTTATATTTTCGTCCTCTCTTGACCGATTTGAGATCTAATTACAGAAGGTCAAACCCTTTCGATTGATGTATTTGACCACGCCCAAGATTAATTTACTCTAATTCTGCCGAAAAGAATTTCAACTTGAGGGTAGGTTGGTAGAGATCCTGATGAGCAATAAAATTGAATCGGGTATACGCGTGCCCCACGTTTGGTACTGCTGGTGCATAAAAATATAGTTTGTTTGTTTATTTGTTTTGAATTTCGCGAAAAGCTACACGAGGGCTATCTGCGCTAGCCGTCCCTAATTTAGCAGTGTAAGACTAGAGGGAAAGCAGCTAGTGATCACTACCCACCGCCATCTCTTGGGCTACTCTGTTACCAACGAATAGTGGGATTCACCGTCAAATTATAACGCCCCTCAGATTACGAGTCGAGCGCCCTAACCACCTGGCCATGCCGGGCCCATAAAAATATAGCTAATAAAAAAGGTATGATAGTTGAAATCACTCTAATCCTGCCTAAAAGAATTTTAAGTGCCGCAGCTACTGAGGATTCCCTCTTGTTTTTATAATACAAACTACACAGCAGCCTTGTCGTTACTGTCTTTCAGGCTAACTCCAGGTGTATATTGTTGACTTGGATGGTTGTCTTAGCCCTCACTATTTTTGCAAACGTCTGTGGCACGGGGTACTACGGATATCGTCTAAAGGTATGGATATTTCTTTTTTATGTTAACCGAAAAAACAAAAACAAAAAAAACATTTACGTATCATATTTAAACTTATTTTTATAATCTCTGTTTATTTTTATAAACAAACGCCACTTCATTCAATAATTAGATATTTTTCATCAGTAGACATTCGTGTAATATATATATATATACCCTTTGTTAGTGTATAATATCTTTGTTGTTAAGCACAAAGCAACACAATGTGCTAGCTGTGCTTTATCCACTGCGGGTATCGAAACGTGTTATATGTCTGAGGTCATACCTCTGAGCCACTGGGGGCAATATTTACTATATACATATGCAAAGTTCGCCTCTCTCTCTCTGTAATTATGTAAGAATTGGCATTTCATTATTTTTTTAGATTTAAAAACTTCACGTAATATCCAGCAACTCCTGCCTCTAACTACGTTATCCAGTTTTAATTACACTGTCGTTTTCGTTTTATTTGCTATTTGTTTTGTTGCTAAGCGCAAAGCTATACAATGGGCTATCCGTGCCCACCATAGGTATCGAAACCTGGTTTTTAGTGTCATAAGCCTTCAGACTTACCGACTATAAAAAGGTGAAATACTGACTAGTAACCTTTTTTTTTTCTTCTTCTTTTATAGAATAAATCACGGTTAACTTCTGATCAGAACGAGCTACGTATAAGGACGGGAACTATTAATTAACCTCCTAATTAATATAGCTAATTCAATATACTTATAATGTTTAGAATACATCGTTTCGTCCTCGGTGTTCGAGACATTGTCGGCTGTAAACCCACTAAAATCTCAATTCAGGTTGGGAGATCTGTATTAATTCTAAATCCATGTACTGAGAATGAAATAATATTAAAAATACATAATAAAGTGATCAAATATTTTAAACAATAAACTGATATTAAAGAATTGGCTTCTTGTTGTTAAGCGCAAAGCTATACAATGGCTAGCTATCTGTGCTCTGTCCACCACGGGAATCGAAACTCTATTTTCAGCGTCATAAGCCTGCAGACTTGCCACTGGAGGGCTGCATTAAAGAAACACTATGACACAACTTACCTACAAAACATATTAAAAAAACAACTTTGTTCTATATTTGAATTTCGCGCAAAGCTACAC